ACTTTTCCACCTTTCACACGAGACGAAGAGAAGATTGCTTGATAGGAGACAGTAGTTTTCTCAAGATGCACACCATATCCTTCTTCGTGTCTTCCAAGACGTAATGGCCGACTAGTCCCGGGGCTGCACTACTCGTACAGCGGACGACAGTCTGCCAGGTTTTAAAAGAGAATAAGAAAGGAAAGAAGCCGAAATAAGAGGAAAAAGGGGGAATTTATATGGAAAGAAAAGCCAGGGAGAATAGCCAGGCTTCCGGGCTGAGGGCTTCCTCGGGCAATTTCTACCGTCCATTGCCTCGTTTCACTTTTTCTCTTTTCTCAACTGTACACTTTTCACACCAATTCAAAACCATGAGGCTATGTATGTGGAGGGGGGGAGGGTCGAAAGAAAAATGAGAATGTTGAGCGAGGGTTAGGTACCGCATTCCCATGGCAAAAGTTTGAGGATCATTTGCTGAAGGTAGTTCAGTTGGATTTGTTGGCGAAGAGGGGGAGGGCAAGGGTGAAGTTTACCTTCCTGCAGCGTTGAAAATCTCGGAGGAAATCTTTTCACTATTTACAGCGCTTAAAAGTCGACACAAACTCGAAATTGTGCAATTTTCATCAGTTTTATTTCTGTTTTTCTTAGGGTTTTTTTCCTGAAAATGGATGAAGTTATTTGAGAAGATCCATGGTGAAAAATCCACGCTGGGGATTTTCGTCTGTTTTTTTTTTCTGAGAAGATGGGTAATAGGCAACAATTTTGAAGAAAAAAGTTGAAAATATTGATAATTGAGAGAGTTATGTTTTGAAAATTTCTAGTTTTTGCTTTCGAATAAAAGCCTTGCATTTGAACGAATGAAAATGTTCGAGTTGGGAATAATTTAGTATAGTACCTTTTAAGAATATGATATAGTATTTTTCAGTCCAAGAAATAACAATTTCTAGAACTCATTTGATGATTTCTCAATAAAAATATAATTCATCTTGACGAAATAGCTAAGCGCCAGAAAACGTTTCAGCCATTTTTTCAATGAATGACTCACCACCGCGAGTGAAAGGAGCACACAGCTATTCTGAGAAATATTTTCCGATATGGAGGAATGGAATATCACCCGGAAAGCAGATGAAATGAACAAATTCATCTCCTTGTCCCCAGAAATAATTTCGCGAATGCACTTGACTTCTAAATACAGCACTGAATCGAATAATAATAGTAAATTTATTTCATGCACTCAGAGAAACATGAGGAATCACTCCAAATATATCGCTCTCACCTCTCAAACTATATTATTTTATTCCGAGATTCAATGAACTTTAAAATTAAAAAATTAATGAATTCCAATTGAATGAGAAAATTTCCAGGAATAGAGCATCAACGCAAGCACATCAACCCTGTGATTTTCTCCATGAGTGATACTATCCAATTACCTTCCATCGGCACCGAGAAACCCTGTTTTCTGAAGAAAGCGACAGCTCGATAAATATAATTAAGAGTCAATGCGTTAGCTAGATGCCGACGTGGTCTCCCGCGGTGATCACCCATTCAAATTACCAAGTAACACTGTCATCTATATAACACCTGCTGCACCACGCCAGACACTCGCTGTGGGAGGTCGTCCACTACCCTCAATGTCCAGAATGCTAAAAAGTTGTGAACAAATACGGTAGCTACGACACGACGGACGGAAGTGGAAAATGATATTTACCGAAAACAAAAAGGGTATTTGTATCGATTTTTAATGTCTTGATTGCAAATTTGATAGAAAAACCGTGCAGCTTCACTAAAGAACATTCTCCCAACGTTGCCCCGACGTGACCTGCCAATATTGCTCCAATGTTGGCAGCCAGCATTGCCCCAACGTTGGCAGCCAACATTGCCCCGACATTATCCCAACATTGACAGCCAGCATTGCCCCGACGTTGGCAGCCAAAATTGGCCCAACATCAGCAATCGACATTACCCCGACGTAAATAGCCAACATTACCCCGACATTGTCCCAACGTTGACAGCCAGCATTGCCCCGACATTGACCCAACGTTGACAGCTAACATTGTCCCAATATTGATAGTCCACATTGTCCCTACATTCGCAGCACTGTTCCAACGTTGGCGGCCAGCATTGCCCCGACGTAAACAGCCAACATTGACAGCCAGCATTGCCCCGATGTTGGCAGCAAAAATTGACCCAACATCAGCAATTGACATTACCCCGACGTAAACAGCCAACATTATCGCAACATCGGCAACCGACATTACCCCGACGTAAACAGCCAACATTGCCCCGACATTGTCCCAACGTTGACAGCCAGCATTGCCCCGACATTGACCCAACGTTGACAGCTAGCATTGTCTCATCGTTGGCAGCCAACAGTGCCCCGACATTAGCAGCTAACACTGCCCGAGCATTGTCAACCAACATTGCGCCAAAAATACGAGCTTCAAAATGAATTTTTTCAACAACAGATGATTCAATCACTCAAAAATTAAACAAATCAAAACTGAATGAAACATGATGGAAAGTGAAGAATAAATGATGCCGGTAAAAGCGCATGTTAGAAAAAATTGCCGAGTAAAAAGGAAATCCCTTAATGCACCCAACAAAGTGTCTGCTCGCATGAATTCAAAGTAAAATAAAATTCTCATCGTATTTTATAATCCACACTTTGTGTTTTTCCGTTACACTTTCTTCCCACTTTTCTTTTTTCTTTCATAATATTCTATTTTCCCTTTTTATGTCTCATAGGTACCCAGTGGGAGCAGCAGCAGTTGGCGGTACGGAGATATCGTACCGAGCAATAGCGACTGTAGTCCGCCCAATGCACAGAACTCTGTACTGCATCGTTACGTTTCGTTTCGCCTAGTGACAAAAGCCGCCTGTATAAATTCCCTACAGGCTGCGCGTACACATTGAAATTGAAAAGAAGTAGCGGCAGTCGAGTGGGCGGAACGGAAAATTGTCAGAAAAAACAAACGGTCAGGGGAGG